CCATGACCTTCATGAAGACATTATGGGTCCTCAAAATGGCTTTGTATGACATTCACAATGACTTTGAGTGACCTCCACAATAGGTTTTTGTGCCCTCATAATGAATCTGTAGGAAGTCACGACAAATATGTATGCCCTCACAATGACTCTGTATGCTCTCACAATGACTCTGTATACCCTCACAATGAAATATGAGTCCTTGTAATGACTATGTATAACCCTCACAATGACTTTGTGTGCTGTCACCAAGAGTTTGGGTGCCCTCACAATGGTTTTGTCTGACCTTCACAATGACTCTGTATAACCATTATATGACTCTCTGTGACCCTAACAAAGACTCTCTGTGACACAATGGCTTTGTGAGCCCACAAAATGTCTCTGTGTGACCTTAACAATGACTCACTGTGACCTTCATAATTACTTGTATTTTCACAATGACTTTGTGTGCCTTTCACAATGGTTTTGGGGACATCAAAATGGTCTGTGTACCCTCATAGTTGTGTGTGTTCCCATAATTACTGCCCTCATAATGACTCTGTGTAACCTTAACAGTGACTTTGTGTACCCTCAAAATGACTAGTGTGCCATCATAATGAATCTGTGTGACCTTAAAATGACTTTGTGTGACCATCACAATGATAATATGTGCCATCACAGTAAATTCTGTGCCCTCACAATGACTTTGAATACCTTCACAGTGAAGTATGATCTTTAGAATGACTTCATATGCCCTCATAATGACTTCTGGGACTCCATAGTGACTTGTCACAATAGCTTTTTATGCCCTCACAAGGACTTCATGTGCTTTCACAATGACCATGTGACCTTCTCAATAACTTCTTGTGCTTCCACAGTGACTTTATGACCTCATAATAACTTTATGCCCTCACAATGTTTCTGTGTGACCTCAAAATGACTATGACCTTCACAATGACTTTGTACTCTCTGACTAAAGCTTGTGTTCCCACAAAATGATTCTGTGTGCCCTCATAATAACCTTGTGACTTTCACAATGACAGTGTATACTCTCCCAATGACTTCTGTACCCTCACAATGACGCTGTGTGTTCTCATAATAATGCTTTGATCTTCACAATGACTATGAATAACTTTCATGACTTTGTGTGCCCTAACAATGATTCTCTGTGCTCTCACAATGATCTTCAAAATGACTGTGTGTGACATTAACAATGGTTCTTTGTGACACAATGACTTTTTGTGCTGTTGCATGGGTGTGATGTGCCTTCACAATGACTTTTGGATGCTCACAATGACTTTACATAACCTAAACAACCATGTATAACCTTCACAGTGTTTTTGTATGCTCTCCCCATGACTCTCTGTGTCCTCACAAGACTCTATGTGACCTTGACAATTACAGTTTACGACCATCACAACAACTCTGACATTCACTATGATCCTCTTTGACCTTTACATTGACTATCTGATCTTCTCAATGACTTTCTTTGTATACACTCACAAATATTTGCTGCCCTCAAGCTATGTGATCGTCACAGTTTCTCTCTGTGGCCATCAAAATACCTTGTGTGCAGTCAAAATGACTCCATGAGTCCACTTTTATGACTCTTTGTGAACCTTACAATGATGTTGTATGCCATTCACAATGACTTTTAATGACTTCACAATGACTGGTGTACTTCATATGACTTTGTGTGTCCAACCAATGATTTTGTGTGCCTTAAAACTATGTGACCTTCACAGTGACTTCAGTGCCCTCATGACTCTGTGTGATGTTAACAATGACTTACTGTGATGTTTGCAATGATTTTATGTATCCTCACAATGACTTTACCTTATAATGTTTATGTGTGCCCTCACAATGACATTCACAAAGATTCAGTTGGATGCTCACAATGACTCTTTGTAATCCTCACAAAAACTTTGTGTACCTTCCCAATGACTGTGTGTGAGATGAACAACAAATCATTGTGATACAATGATTTTGTGTACCCTCACAACGACTTTTTATGATATTCACAATAACCTTTATGCCCTTATAAAGCATCTGTGTGCCCTCACATTGAATGTGTGCTCACTCTTACAATGACTCTCTTTGACCTTAACCATGACTTTGTATTCCCTCACAATGACTCTCTGTGCTCTCACAATGATTGTCTTATTTTCACAATGACTCTGTGTGACCTTCACAACTCTGTATAATCCTAAAAATGACTTTGTTAGGCCTCAAAATGTCTCTGTACATTTCTAATGACTCCCTGTGGACCTTCACTATGACTTTCAATGACCTCACAATGACTTTGTAGACTCTTCACAATGACTCTTTTTGACCCTCACAATGACATCACATAAACTTCACATTTTTGGTCATCACATTGACTTCTGTGCCCTGATAATGACTCTCTATGCCATCACAATGACTCTGTATGATTTTTCATAATGACATTGTGTGCTCTCCCAGTACTTTGTGTATTCTCCCCAAAATGGCTTTGTTTATACTCAGAATAATTTATGTGCACCCATGATTCTGTGTGGCCTTCACAATTACTTTTTGTACCCTCAAGGGATTGTGTGTATCATCACAATAACTCTGTGTGATATTCAATGACACTTTGTGATCTTAACAATGACTTGTATGCCCTCACAATGACGTTATGGGCTCCTGACAATGGCTCTTGCTGACCCTTACAATGACGTTGAGGCCTTTGCAATGACTTTTTGTGCCATCACAATGACTTATGTACCCTGAAAATAACTGTGTGTGCCCTCACAATGATTATATGTGACATCATAATGACACTTTGTGAGCCTTACGATGACTTGTGTGCCCCAACTATGATTGTGTGTGACCTTCATAGTAATTTTTGTATGCTTTCACAATGGATCTGTGTCCTTTATCAGTTCTTGAGTGATCTCACAATGAGTTTGTGTCCCCCACAATGATTCTATGTGTACTCTTAATGATTGTGTGTGACTTTATAATTACTATGGGCCTTCACAATGACTGTGTGCCCTCATACTTACTCTGTGACTTTCACAATTACTCTGTGAGCATTTCACAATCATTTGTGTGCACTCACAGTAACTTTGTATGTCCTCACAATGACTCATAGTGCCCTTACTGTTTGTATTAACTTAACCATGAATGTGTCTTCACCATAATTTGTGTGTTCTCATGACCCTTTGTGCTTTCACAGAGCCTCAGTGTGACCTTCACAATGACTTGTATGTCCTTCAGAATGACTATATGTGCTACTCATAATGATGTTGTGTTACCTTTACAATGACATTATGTACCCTCACAATGACTTCTGTGCTCTCATGACAACTCTCTGTGCCTACACAAGGACTTTGTGTGGTCTCACAGTGACTTTGTGTGACCTTAATGACGCCGTTATTCCCTCAAATGAACTGTGTGATTATAACTCTGTGTCATGCACATGCATTCTGTACGACCTTAACAATGACTTTGTGTGAGATGCACAGTGATGCATTGATGCTCACAATGATTTTATGTATCCTCACAATGACTATATGTGACTTCACAATGAGTGTGTGTGTCCTTACAATGACTCTATGATTCACAAAATTACATTGTGTCCTTTCTCAAAGACACTGTATTATCTTTACAATGGCAATGTGTGATATTCACAATGACTACTCATGACTTTCACAATGAATTTTTGTGACTTCATGATTTATATGCCCTCAAAATGAGGCTGTGTGCCCTTACAATGACTCGCTGTGATCTTTATCATGACATCATACCCTCACATTAAAATTTGACTGTGACTCTGACAATGACTGTTTGGTGTCATAGTGACTCTGTGTGACCTCACAATGACCCTGTGTGCCCTCATAATGAGTTCATATGCCCTTACAATGATTATGTCTGGCTTTCACAATGACTGTGTAACTATCACAATGTCTCTATATGACCTTGATAATGACTGTGTGATCCTCCCAATGACTTTGGGTATCCTCACGATGACTTTGGGTGTCCTCACAATGATTCTTTGTCACCTTCACAATGACTATATGACCTCTACACTGACTCTTTGTGACCTTGACAATGACTCTGTATGATCCAAGCAATGACTTTGTATGCCCTCACAACGAGGCTGTGTAATCATCACAAGATTCTTTGTGACCTTCACAATGACTTGTGTGTCCTCAAAAATGCTATGGGCCCTCACAATGACTTCACAATGACTCTGCGCTCCATCCCAATGTCTCCGTATGACCTAAACATTGACTTTTAGAGCTCACAATCATTCGTATGTGCTCATGAATGACTGTGTGCCATCACAATCCATGTGACCTTCACAGTGACATTATATATCCTCTCAATGACTTTTGAACCCTTACAATGACTACATATGATGTCAGAATAACTTCGCACTCATAATTAATGAGTCTTCATTATGAATATGTATGACTCTCTGTACCCTCACAATTAGTCTGTCACTTTTACAATAACTTTTTGTGTCCTCATAATGACTTTGTGTGACTTTCAGAATGACTTTTTGTGGCCTCTCAATGACTGCATGTCCTCACAATCCTTTGTGTTCCCTCCAGATGACATGTATGCCCTCATAATAACTGTGCTTCACAATGATTTTTTGTGCCTTCACAATGACTGTGTGCCTTCCAACATGATTCTGCTATTCTTCACAATGACTTTTTTTGCCCTCACAAATGTATGTTCTTTACAGTGACTCTTTATCATGCTCACAATGACTCTCTGTGACCTTCACAATGACTTTGTGTATACTTATAAAGACTTCTGTGCCTTTGCAATTATTCTGTGTGAACTCCAGGAAGACTCTTCTTATCTTCACAATGACTGTGTGTGATCTTCACAATGACTTTTTGTGACCTTCACAGTGGTTTATGTGCCCTCACCATGACTGTGTGACCTTCACAATGACTCTTTTTGACCCTCACCAATGGCTCTGTGTGCCCTCAACTGTGACTTGTGTGTCACTCTCTATGATTTATGACACTCAGATGACATGTAACTAAGAATGACAAGTATCAATTTTATTTCACAATTTTTAAAAAGCATTAAAAAAGGTTTGTATTGGAAAGCGATAACTTACAATTTATAAATTCCAGTATGTAAAATAGTTGTGATGATATCTAAGCTGATACAAACTATCTTAAAAGCAATGGTTGTTTCCTTTTCCTTTTCTGTTCTTTTTCTTCTGACACAGACAGCAGTTCTTATCCTAAGTAACAGCAGCAGTAACTTTAAAGTAGAAAACCCCACAATTCAAAATATATTCTATATATTCAAAATAGAAAGCACATGACTTGCCCTGACTGATCCAACAATCCTTGTCTCCATCCTTGTGCTTGTCCTTGCTTCTGCCATGTGAAGGTGGCCCGGTGCCCTGTAGGCCTGAATGCCTCTCTGTCCTAGTGTCTGACATCAGCGCTCTAGCTCCTGTGTAAACAGCCTTGTGAGATGTTCCAATAATGTGGAGTGCAGGTTGCAGTTTTTCCCCTCTTGTTTACAGAGTATAAAATGTAAAACACCATTGCATCTTTCTAGAGTGGCCAGTGGGAGGAGTCTCCTTTTTGATGATAATCCGGGACCTTCCAAATGCAGTATCAAATGAAATCAATTTTTAACCTTCAGCATTTCTCTTCTGATTGAAAGTGATGTTTCGGGATTTGGGGCCAAAGTCTCACTTCCAATCAGTCTGGCTTTCCTCAGCAGTGTCTGTCTTTGAAGTCCATCAGGGCTTGGCATGTGGAAAATATATTCAGGTTACACAAAGGAACACAACCCTGCTGGCTTTGATCATCTCTCTGTCATAACACAGATGATTGGGTTGCAAACAATGGCACACACATGTGCATTATGAGAATGCCATTTGGGGGAGCGCAGCTTGCGTCCTCATGGAAGTCTGCTGGTTAAATCCTAAATATTTTATGACTTTCCTAAAGCCAAATTCTCATCAGGGTTGGGGACACACAAACAAAATGCCAATCAGTTATGACTGGGCACCATGTGGACATGAAAGCGGATGTGGACTACCATGGAACACTCTATGGTAAGTTCTTCCTACATCTGGTAAAGGAACAGATGCCATGTGAAGCAATAGATATGGACAAGCCCAAAGACACACATCAAAAGCTGTAATAATGAATAGAGAGAGGCCACAGGAAGAGGGCTCATTAAATTGTACTCATGTCTTACAAAGAGAGAAAAACCATGGGGGGAAACAGAAGATAAAAAAGTCTAGGAAGATAGCATCTTAAGGTTTGGGTTTAGTTTTGGGTAAAAGAGCCCGATTTAAGCAGGGCATCTTCAAAACAGATATGCTGGTGAATTCTATCACACTGGTGCTCTTTTCAAAGTGTAAATGTAGCCGTGTGGTGGTGGTGGTGGTGGCAGCGGTGGTGGCGCCGCCTTTAATTCCAGCACTTGGGAGGCAGAGCCAGGAGGATCTCTGTGAGTTCGAGGCCAGCCTGGTCTACAGAGCGAGATCCAGGAAAGGCACAAAGCTACACAGAGAAACCCTGTCTCAAAAAAAAGAAAAAGAAAAAAAGAAAAAGAAAAGAAGTGTAAATGTTGTAAGTTCAAACTGGAAACCAAGTAAATCCTGCTGAACAAAGCCATAAGGCATAAAATGAAGAGAAAACTTCCTTAGCTTTAGAGACTGTTCTAGAAGGCAAATGCCATCATGGAAGAAGATGGAACACCTTACAGAACACCCCCATATAAGAACACCATGAGTATTATAAGCCTTGGTTAGGTACATGGCACCAGGGAGCCTGTTCTCCCAAACTGTCTGTCAACCACATTTTTCCATGTCTCGTTCTAATATGCACTGGATTCTCACTGAAGGATTCTTCAGTAGCATACTGGATGTAGGGAAGCCTTTTGTCTAAGCTCAGGTGCAGATCACAGATTACTATGTTTATAAATATCTCCTTTCTACCTAAGACATCTGGGCTTTGTAAGCTCAGCACAGGGGCAGACCTAACACACGTTTCCACGGTCACCAGCCCTAGCACGCACAGCCACGCTTCAGGATATACAGAGTAGGTGGTTTTAACAGTAGGGTAATGCCATTTCCCCCTTCCCCCTCATGCCCCATTTCTAACCACATTCACAGCCATCGTCCATAATCCAGGCCTCCTTTCCTCTCAGCTCTGTCACACATTCGTGGGGAAGAGGCCAAAAGAGCTACTCATAACCGATAGGCCAGTCAACTTCACCAAACCACGATTTAGGCAGGGCTCCAAAACCCCTTCACACCACTGACATGTACCATTCTGCTGATGAGAAAGTGACTTTTTTCCCATAGAAATCCCCAGAGCTCTACCTAAAATCTAAGTAAGGAATCTGCCATAGCTTTTTCGTAGGGTAACGGGTTAGTTCTGAAAGAGAGTGTCTATGAAAGTTTATACTCTGGGTCTTGTGAAACCACATTCACCATGAATGTAAGCAGGAGCCAGGCTGGGTCTTGCTGTGCCCACAATTTCGCAGGCAGCACATTCCACCCATTGGTCCTTCAAACTGCCCTCAGCTGAGGTTCCTGTTTAGGGAAGATGTACCAGTCCTGAGGCCGCCTACAGTCTCTCCTTGGTTCTCGCTGGGGTTTCAGCTTACAGTCGGTCTGGCTCAGAGGCAACTGGTTGAAAGGCTGGAAATGCTGCCAGTTGGGTTCAGATTTATTATTGCTTCCAGAAGCCATAGAAGGTCAAAGACTGCTCAGTCTGTAAGTCTTAACCCAGGCGTGTCCAGACCCACACCTCCACTTCCGGAAGATGGCCTTCAGGCATCCTAAAACAGCAACAGAGGAAAGGCTTGAAAAATGGTGTCTTCTACGTTAAAGCTGCTTCATGGTCCTTCTAAACCTGATTGTGCATGGCTACTAAGGGCACTGTCACATACTCAAGCATCCTTTACTGTGTCCTCTGAGAAAGTAATAAAAGTCTTGCAACAACACAATTACCAGTATGCGCTGAGTACTTAACAGATGACAATGTAACCCATAATAATCACAAGGACTTAAAAAAAAACATTTCTTTTGTTCATCAACCTCATCCAAACATTTGAAGGCACTGCTTCAGTATGGAGCTTCCTAAACATCTGTAGGTCATTCATGGCCTCCAGAAAGGAAGGTGGCCAGTGAACACTGCCACCCTATCTGTCACTGAGTCACAGAACCTCAGTCTCCCACTCCTTGCAGATGTTTGCAAAGACAGAGAGACTAGGATGGCTCTTAATGATCTCCTTTGAACAGACACAGTGTTCTCAAGATGATTACCCTCAGCAAGGGGTCGTATCACAGAAAGTATGGCCTCCCTCTAAAAGAGACCAGGCATCGGCCAGCTGAGTGCTGCTGAGAACCCTGTTTTCATACACTGCCCTTTGGCAATGTGTTCATCAGTAATTTGCATTGGCAACACAGGTAAACCTAAGGAAAACATTTCTAGGTAAAAGGTTGTCTGGAAACCAGTGGGTCTGGAGTCTGTTTGAGAACTGGGAAACAATTTTTACCAAATATGTTGACCAACTGATGCTCTAGTACCAACATGTTGACTCTACTGCCGGAAGCAAATCATCTCGTTTTATCATATTCAAAAAGCAGATGGATAGACTAGAGAACTAGGGGGCCCTTGTGGTTGAAATATTATGCACCTCGATAAACTTATCTGGGGGTCAGAGAATGGAACAGCCACTATATTAAACATAGAGGTCAGGCAGTGGTAGCAGATGCCTTCAATCCTAGCCTTCTGGAGGCAGAGATCCATCCAGATCTCTGTGAGTTCAAGACTACACTGGAAACAGCCAGGCATGGTGACTCACACCTTTAATCCCAGGAAGTGATGGCAGGAAGCAGAAAGGTAGATAAGGCATGAGGACCAGGAACTACAGGCTTTTAAACTTTTAGGTTTTTTTTTTTTTAGCAGCAGTTCAGCTGAGATCCATTTTGATGAGGACTCAGAGGCCTCCAGTTGGAGGAAACAGGATGGGCTGAGAAGTTGGCGAGGTGAGGTTGGATGTGGCTTGTTCTGTTTCCCTGATCTTTCAGCATTCACCCCAATACCTGGCCCTGAGTTTTTTATTAATAAGACCTTTTAAGATTCGTGCTACAGGCCTTCTCAGAGCTTCTCCAACCTTCTGTTTCCTTCCTATTGAGTTTTTTGTTGCTTATTATTTTGTGTGTTTTGTGTGTGGGGGGGGGGATGCTTGTGCCATTGGTGCATGTCAAGGTCAGAGAACAACTTGCAGGCGTCAGCTCTCTCCTTCTGCCATGTAGATTCCAAGGATCAAACTCAGGTCATCAGGCTTGGCAGGAAATGCCTTTACTTGCCAAGCCATCTCCCTGATAGCAACATCACTGTTGACATTAAAAGATAGTACCAAGAGGGCCAGCAACATAGATCATGGGTAAAGCAACTGCCATGCATGGAGTCCAATCCCTAGAACCTGTAGTAGAAGGAGAGAACTGACTCCTGCAACTGACCCCTGATATCCACATGTGCTTCTCTGCCCCAATAATAACAAAAAATAAAATAAAATAATATTGTAAAACCACCAAGAAAGCTTTTCCTGTCAGGAAACAGGCTCGCTTCCTCCCCTCAAATAGCTCAACACCAGCACCCCACATTCCCTCAGCCCTGCTCCCCGTCTGCACAGATGCGAACAGGGGGAGGCACACGTGGAGGCTAACAGTGGCTCTCACACTTACATACTCATCCTGAATAGGGACCATCACCATCAGACCCCGGGTGGTCTTAAGTCACCCACAAGAACACCAGTGTGCAAAAATACTGGTTCAGGAAACGATTTCATCGTGCTTTGGAAATCACAGCCTCCCACCAGGTAAAGACCACAACTGCTGTAAGGCTGGGGCTGCTTCCCAATGGGAGAATAAGGTCCTCCCTGAATTCCAAATGAGGCCCACGCTATGGGACCAAGTCAACGCCATCAAGAAGGTGACAGTGGCTTTGTGCGCAGGAGCAAAAGCGGAGTTGGAGAGCTCAATTCTAACTGAGCTGATGATGAATAAATGCCCGGGATGTCAAGTCTGAGGCCGTCACTTGACAACAGTGGAGATGGGGGCTGATGGCCAGATGCCTCCACCTCTAGCCACCTCCTTGTCAGGAGCACTCCACACACAGCAGTCAGATTTCAGAAGACCAGTGAAGAGTGTGAGGGCCCTTTGTGCTCTCATAAAATGGTTCTGTTTGTTAGGAGGAAAAAAAGACTTGACATTTACTTTAAAACAGTCTTCTGTAATGCATGAGAAATAATAAATTACAGCTATCTCTCGTCTGCCTCCTCAGATTTCACAGTGGGAACAGAGTCTGGATCCCTCCAGTCTAGCACAAGCCATTGCCAAGCTCATTCTGAAGCCCCTCAGTGTCTTACCTGGAAGGACGCAGGTGTGGCTAGGTTCAGGTTGCCACTGCCTTCCCAACCTCCTTGGCTTGCAGTCCTTTGAGCATCCTGAGCTAGGGTCTGCTCCCAGACTGTATCACCATATCTAGGTGAGTCAGTAGTTTCTGTGAAATTTCCAGAAGAATCCGGAGCAGCTGTCCCAGCCAGATCCTGACCACCGCTGGAATCCAGAGATGTTGAGCTTTCATTTTCTGGGCTGAGGGAGTTGATATCTTCTCCAGTGAGTTCAGGATAAGAGTCACAAAGAGAGATGTCGCCGCCCATAGGATTCCGCATCAGAGGCCAGCCATCAGAAAACTCACCGCAGATGGAACGGGAAACAGACCCGAAGAAAGCCGGCATTGTGTCCCCCACGGAAGCTGCGTTTCTGAACACATATCCGGAAGGTTTGTAAGTATTGTACAGTGACAGAAACGGCTGCTACAGAACAGCATTTCAGCTACAGTTTAACTCTATGGCTGCAATAGCAACATGCTGAGAATTCCAGTGCTAACTATTGCTTTAAATTTGCCTCAGTGCATCAACTGCAGCTACTCCGTTGACCTTAAAAGTGATTTTTACACATATTTCTAATTACTGTACGCATATCCAATGTCTAACAGCTGCATTTTCTTAGGTCTTAACTGAGTTTTCTGGATTGTTGTTCTAGAACAGTGTGCCAGCAGAGTGTGACAAGTGAGACATTACATTGACATAACAAAAATGTCAGGAATAGAGGCTAGAGAGACGACTCCACAGCTAAGCACGTGTGTGCACACTGCTCCTGAGGAACTGAGCTCAGTTCCCAGCACCCACATCGGGAGACTCACAGCCACCTGTAACTCCAGCTCCAAGGGGGTGAGACACTCTCAGTTTCTGAGGGCACCTGTACTGTGTGTACATATTTACACACAGAAACACACATATATGCTTTAAAATAAAATCTTGTAAAAACAGAGCAATGTCATGAACATAATACACAAATCAAGTGGTGGGGGGAAAAGTGCCAGGAAACAGGACTAGTTACCAGCAGCCTCGGGCCCTACAATCCCTGCTGGGGAATCGCTCCCCTCAGGTTCCCAGAAGTCATTGGTAATGCTTAAGAAGCAGATCGCTACAGTTTAACACGAGGCTGGGACCTCAGGAGAACACAGATTTGCAAACAGGAGTATGGCACTGTTGACTATAAGAGCAAGCAGTTACCTCTCCTGAAGGGTAGCCGTAGAATGCAGCCCACAGCCAAGGGCAGCGCGGACAGAGCTTCGGGCCTCCTCACAGCACAAAGACGGAATCAGGTGGACAGGCCCTGAGAAAGGCAGAAAAGCGTGAGGCCCAGGCCCTTCCCCCTGAACTTTCTTGTTCATAGCAGCTGAGCCTTGCTCCCCTTGGAAAGGTAGCAGGTCCCGTCTGCGCGACTATTCAGCAGAAGGAGGAATGCAAGTTTCAAACACAGAGACACAATTGCACATGGGTGTCAAGACTGGAGCAAGTCAGAGGACTAAGGCCAGCCTGGGCTGCACAGTGAGATCTGTCGGGAAGGAGGGAAGTGAGGATAAAGGTGAAACATTCTCATTCTATGTGTGACACACGGGACTGAGATGGTCCATCCTGCAACACTACAAAGAGACACTGGGTGATTCCAAGAGGCCAGTCCAGCCCAGCCTGGAATACGAGGAACTCGAAGCAGATAACAGTGTCTAAGAGATGACTTGGTACTGTCATAGACACTATACCCACACAGACCAGAAACTCAGGACAGTAGAGAGGGCTACTGGGCCAGACCCACACCAGAAGTACCGTTGGTCATGCGGGGTTTATGTGCAGGAGGTCACCTGCTGAGGCCTGGGATTGGACATGAAGTAGAAACCTCAGGTTGATGCCGATCAGTCAGGGGCAGAGAAAGTTATGTCACCTCTGCCTGACTGGGTCAGACACACATTTCCACCTGTGCCAGCTCTCCTTAATGACTATTTCCAGCAACAGACCAAGAGGCAGGTGTGGCTGGATCCTGGCGTGGACCTCCCTCTTCCTCACAGGTGTCATTAAAACCAGTCACATTGGTGTTGGGTTTGAACTGGCCAGGTGACCAAGGTGCTGGATAGCTTTATGTCAATTTGACACAGCTAGAGTCAGCAGAAAGGAGGGAGCCTCACGTCAGAAAATGTCTCCAGAAGAAGGGACTGTAGGCAAGCCTGTGAGGCATTCTCTTAATCAGTGATGGATGGGGGAGGGCCCAGCCCATTGCGGGTGGGGCCGCCCCTGGGCTGGTGGTCCTGGTGGTGGGGGGAGTTCTGTAAGAAAGCAGGCTGAGCCAGCCATGGGGAGCAAGTCAGGAAGCAGCACCCCTCCATGGCCTCTGCATCAGCTCCTGCTCCAGGTTCCTGCCCTGTGTGAGTTCCTGCCTTGGCTTCCCTTGATGGATTGTGGCCCCAGATGCGGAAGCCAAATGAAACCTTCCCTCCCAAGCTGCTCTTGGCCATGGTGTTCATCACAACAGTAACTCTGACTAAGACACAAGGATGTCAGCCCCACCTCTACACAGCAGGCACAGTGATTCTAAGTGAAATGGACTCTAAATGAGAAAGGCTGAGTTGCCTGAACAGCTGCTAAAATGGTCCCGAGTTCTGTGGGGATTCCTGTTTTCTTAATACTGAGGAGACCTGGAGCACCCAGATCAATGGCGGGCAGAGGGGAGTCTGACATGGAGCAGCTGTGACTGGAAATCAGCCTGTGACCCGCTGTCACCCGATCTGAAGAACAGGAGCTGGACATGGTAATACCGTTTAGTGGTCCCATTCTGCACTCCTGGTTCCTCTGGGCCCTTCATAACTCAACTCACCGTATGTCTGGGCTGAGTCCCGGTGACATTGACAACATGCCCTGTGGGCGCAGTGGCGGAGCCGAGGCTGGTCAAAACACGACAGCTCAGAGCCATTGTATTGAATGTCCTGTGACCGCAGAGACCCTAGGGGAAAGGAGAGATCCACAGTTAACACTTTTCCATAGGAAGCCTGGCATTTTGTATTTTTAATGAGGCAATACCATTATTCTAGACTCCTGCTTACCCTAAGACACTCACTGTAAAATAAAGACACTCTGTATGCCAGTCTTCCAAACATTAGTGCTTGGTTTAGAATAACTTAACCTGGATCATTGACTTCTGCTAGCCTACAGTGGGCAAATCAATCAAAACAAAGCCTATGTCATTACACACGCACACATACATGCACACGTAAGGGTATTTTGCCTGCATGTGTATCTGTTCGCCACATGCATGTCTGGTACCCATGGAGGTCAGAAGAGGACATCAGATCCCCTGGGACTGGACTTACAGACACTTGTAAACTGCCTTGTAGATGCTGGGAATAGAATCTTCCTCTAAAAGGGCAGCCAGTGCTCTCAGCCACCGAACCGGCTCTCCAGCGTCTAACCTCCACATTTTTGTGTGTGCTGGGAATTAAACCCCAGGGCCTTGTATCTGTTAGGCAAGTGCTCTACCACCAAGCTACAGCCTGGCCTGTTCCTTAACAGTGCCTACATAATTGAGAAGCAGAGAGGTCTTAAGAGGTGTGCCTTCAGACCATCATAACTTTGAAGACTTGTTAAGCTGAGTGATGGCAAGTTGAGGACTGCCTATCTCTTCTTATACAGAGGCACACACAGTTTAAAATAGCTTGTTAAGAATAGGGGGTACAGACAATTTTTATTTTTTGCCTTATACCCTTGGGACATTACAGCCTTGTCAGCATCCCGATGATGGCTCAAAATTCCTGCAGGGGGCTGTTTTCCTGTGCCTTGTATCCTAAACAGTTGGTGATGCTTTTCTTAGCTAGGTCTCTTGTGAACTCTTGTGTGGAAATGCTCACAAGCTCACTTCACAGGAAGACAGCAGGACGGGAGACTTACAGCTGGGTTTCTTCTCCATGAACTGCCTCTTGCAGTAGATGACACACAGGATGAGCAGGGCGAGCAGCACGGTGGCCAGGGCGCTGCAGATGACAGCAGCCAGGGCTGTGTCCCGAGGGCTGGAGGCCGTGGACGAGATCTTCACAAGGTTCACCTTGCTGGTACCTGAAAGTGACAGGAAGGAACAGGTCAGCACACCCTTTGCAAGCCTGGACTTGAAATGCTTCCAGCCTGTCCAACCTTATCTCATTATGACACCATGTTGTTGTCACCCACCACGTTCACATTCCAGAACCGTGTAATCTGGTTACTAAGCAAGTTTATGGGTTTTTGTTGTTGTTGTTGAACCCCATTCATAGTTATTCTTGGCTATGCCCAGCCTGGGGGTTGCAGCCTGGACATAACACACTGAAGCTAGTGGATATCATCAGCAATTGCTTTCCCATGATAAAAATAAAAGTGGAGAAAACCAACTTGAGAGGTCTGAAGATGATCAAGTACCCCATCCTTTTTCATGTTACCCCTGCACTTTGTATCCCCAAATACCCCAGAACTCCACCCACTGCCCCCATAACACTAGAAGCACACAGTCCTCAACATATGGTATGGTTCAGAAACCTGCCCTTGACCCACTGAAGCAGAAAGCTGGATGGTCATCCTGACCTCCATAGCTTCAGGGAATGTCCCAGGGCTTGGCACACCACAGTATTGGAGTGAGTGGACATTTTCCTTCTGTCCTCCCACCTGTGGAAAGTTTGCTGACGTGAGCTGACATTACACAGATTAAAAGGAGGAAAAGGCACAGATTTATTTACATGCACAGGGAATTGAAGTGTCCAGTAATTCAAGAGATTCATATGCCTAGAGGTGCCCACTTTTTTCAGTCCTAATGATGGAACCTTGGGGACAGACAAGAGTTCTGTCCTGCAAAATGACAACCTACAGAATGGGAAAAGATCTTTACCAACCCCACATCTGACAGAGGGCTGATCTCCAAAATATATAAAGAACTCAAGAAACTAGACATTAAAACAATCCAATTAAAAAATGGACTACAGAGCTAAACAGAGAATTCTCAACATAAGAATCTCAAATGGCCAAAAGACATTTAAGGAATTGCTCAACATCCTTAGTCATCAGGGAAATGCAATCAAAATGACTCTGAAATATCATCTTACAGCTGTCAGAATGGCTAAGATCAAAAACACTGATGACAGCTTATGTTGGAGAGGATGTGGAGCAAGAGGAACACTCCTTTACTGTTGGTGGGAATGTAAACTTGTACAGCCACTTTGGAAATCAGTATGGCGATTTCTCAGAAAATTGGGACTCAATCTACCTCAAGACCCAATAATACCACTCTTGGGCATATACCCAAGGCATGCTTAATCATACCACAAGGACACTTGCTCAACTATGTTCATAACAGCATTATTCATAACAGTCAGAACCTGGAAACAACCTAGATTCACCTTAACCAAAGAATGGATAAAGAAAATGTGGTACATATACACAATGGAGTATTACTTGGCTGTAAAAAAAAAAAATGACAACATGAAATTTGCAGGCAAATGGATGGAACTAGAAAAAAACCATCCTGAGTGAGGTAACCTAGACCCCAAAAGACAAACATGGTGTACTCACTCATAAGTGGATAGTAGATGTAAAGCGAAGGATAACCAGGCTACAGTCCACAACCCCAGAGAAACTAGGTACCAAGGAGGACCGTAAGAGAGACATGCATGGATCCCCCTAGGAAGGGGAAATAGATAAGATCTCCTGAGTAAACTGGGAACATGGTGGGGAGGGGGAGGTTAGGGAAGGTAACAAGAGAATATGAGGGATTGAGATGGTCGAGTTGGGGGAGGGACAGAGAGGGAGAGCAAGGAAAGAGGTATCTTGATAGAGGGAGCCATTATGGGGTTAGAGAGAAACCTGATGCTAGGGAAATTCCCAGGAACCCATAAAGGATGACCCCAGCTAAGACTCCAAGCAATAGTGGAGAGGGTGCCTGAACTGGCCTTCCCCTGTAATCAGATCGATGACTACCCTAACTGTCATCATAGAACCTTCATCCAGTGACTGATGGAAGCAGATGCAGAGATCCACAGCTAAGCACTGGGTGGAGTTCCTGGAGTCCAGTCGAAGAGAGGGAGGAGGGACTATATAAGCAAGGGGTCAAGATCATGATGGGGAAACCCACAGAGACAGCTGACCCAAGCTAGTTGGAGTTCACTGACTTTGGAGTGATAGCTGGAGAACTTGCATGAGACCAAACTAGGTTCTCTGAAGGTCGGTGATAGTTGTGCGGCTTGGGCAGTTTGTGGGGCCCCTGGCAGAGGGACCAGGATTTATCCCTAGTGCATGAATTGGCTTTTTGGAACCCATTCCCTATGGAGGGATACCTTGCTCAGCCTCGATACGGGGGGAGGGGCTTAGTCCTGCCCTAACCTGATATGCCAGACTTTATTGTCTCCCCATGGGAGGCCTTACCCTCTCTGAGGAGTGGATGAGGGATGAGGTGGGAGGAAGGTGGGAGTAAGCGATGAGGAGGGAAGGGAGGGGGAACTGTGGTTGGTATGTAAAATGAAAAAAAAAACTTTGAAATAAACAAAAACAACCCAAAAGTTCCTTCCTTCAACTTGGAGACCCTTCCAAACAAAGGGCCTTGCTCAGACAGGGCTGGCCGGGAAAGGAGAGAACTAGGGTAAAAAATCCAGGGAATTCTACCACTTTACACTCTGGCACTAACAAACCTTTCTCCTTCCTGAGTATGTTTCCTCCAGGGTAGATCAAAGAGTGGCTTATTCTGCAGATCCTGAACCCCTGTGAAGTTGAGGGGCTTACCATTCCTCCCAAGGAGTTTGGAACCAGCCAGGTCCAGGCATTTGGGCTGTAGGGGATGCTGTGGTCACCCTGTGACCTGTTTGTTTCCCATGGAGGAACTTGGCCTTTACATGACAGACCTAGATGAAGCAGCTCACGGAACCCCATGGCTGTCTGACTTGTGGGCTGCTTTTTCTGAGCCCCAGGTTCATGTGGCCCACACGTCAGGTTCACATGGACCATGGTTGCTAGCTGTCTCCATGGTTATGAATTATACCAGAGCTCAATAGGCCCAGAGAGTCTCCTCACTGCAACCATGGCCATCTCTCCTAAAAAAACATCCATTTCTCTCATGCAATGGCTAATTTGGACTGTCATTTTGTTTCTGAATTAAGAAACACCTAGGGCGTTAGTGAGGCACAACCATGGGTTTGCCTATGAGAGTCTGAAGAGAAGATTGAGGAAGACCCACCCTGATTTGGGGCAATACCACCCCACGTGATGGGGTCTGAAAGGGGTAAAGGAGAAAGCCAGTTGAGCACCAGCATTGTGGAGGTTGATGGGTGGAGATGTGTGGATCATCTCAATTCATGGACAAATCATTCTCCAATCATTCATTGAGATGTGAACAAGCAGCCTCATGTTGCCACAGCCAGGAACTGGTCTCACTGCTATGCCTTCTGCACCATGATGGACTGTATCCCCTGCCATGAACCCAAATAAACACTGCCTCTTTTAAGCTGCGTTTTGTCAGGCACTGGGTCATAGCAATGAGCAAAGTGACTACTACATCTCCCAAATCTTCCCTATCTGTCACCGCCTCTGTCTGCTCTTCCCACATGGCCATGCAGATCACTCCCTCAGCTGTTGTTTGTTGAGTGATGCTGTTCACGGAACTAAAGCTGCACTAGCAATCCATAGGGTTTCACCCTTCCCCCCTGCTTTCTTTTCCTCCATGACACTGCTGTCATCCAACACTCTATACACTTCACTTTGGCTCATTGTTATTCTCCCGATTGCAGTTAGGCTGGCTTGGAAAGAGGCCATGCTTCTAGCCTCCTTTGCAGCTAGACATGACAATGTCTAGGGTCAAGTTACTGGGGAGGTTGATGAGTGGAGATGTGTGGATCATCTCAATTCATGGACAAATCATTCTCCAATCATCTCTTCCACTGTGACCTGTGAGCTGGAAGTAGGAAAAGCAAGAGACCCAACAGGTGAGGCATACCAGTAAGGCTGGCCCAGGACTGGGGTGAGAAGCTGTCCTCTGAACTCATCCAGCAGAAATGCTCCCTGGCCCAGCTGGCTGGGCTGGCACAAAACTTCTGTTTTACTTTGGCAGAAATAGTTTTGAGTCTTTTCAGTACAGCAGTTGGCCTCTTCCCTAGCTAGCTACATTCCTTACACAAGGCAATCCTCTTGTTAAGCTTGTTTACTATTTATCTATAATGCCTCCAAGGGATTCTGGTACACCCTTGCTTCTTGATGAACAGTGGAGCAAAGGAGTATTTGCTGAAGAAACCCTAGCCCCTGAGTACTCCAAAGCATTGATTCTATGAGACCTTATAGGTCAATGAGATGAGACTGTTTACTGAGTACCTCCTGTCTGATGGCAGTACAGGTGGAAACAGCTTTAGCAATGAGCAGCTTTGTTTATGGCCTTTGCTGTGTTTATGAAGAGCAGCTTCAGTACAGTCTTACTGTGGGCAGGAGAAAGAGCAAGGACTGCTTGGCTTGATCAGTATGCAAACCCTGAAGATCATGACCTCATCCAAGAATGAACACCCAACAAAAGCTCAACCTCCCCTAGTAATGACAACTCATGAAGCCATGGGGGGAGGGGATGTCAAATTTGATCCTAACTAATAACTCACAGAAAATGACAGCTGATTGTAGTGGGTAGCCATTCCAGCTTTGATCTGGAAGTTCCAACCCCCACTGAGGCTTCGGCAACTGTCATGCCTACAAGGCGGGGCCAAGGGAGGCACCTAGAGACCCGAGATCTGGATGGGCCAGGGCTCTCTCTCTGTTCCTGGACCCTTGACGGTGGAGGTTGACAGAGCAGAGCTCCAGAGAACACTGCTGGACTGCGATACACCTTCCCCAGATCCCACGACCTACCTATCCCTTCATTTGTAAGTTACCCACTAAATAAATCTTCCTTTTAACTATGTGGAGTGGCCTTAATAATTTTACCAATAGCTGATCTACAAGAAATGCCCAGCAGTTGTGTCTCCTGTCCAACCAAAGCTAATCTGGTGCCAAGATAATTATTAAGGGAACCAATACGCATTCATATCAGCTTATTCAAATAAGGCATATTAACATCTACTTATCCC